TTCAAAATAGGGAGAATATTGAGGTGATGGAGTATAATGTTGATATTGAAAATAATCAAAAGGGGTTTCAAATAATCGACATGGTGACTCTCATATCCCCAAAACTTATTTCCAAAATATGCCATAACTCTACTATACACAGCTCCAAAACACTAGATAGCTCAAACTTTTACTTCTGTCAAAATGATTTTACAAGAATGCACGATTCATTTTTTTTTTTTTTTTGGTTCTTTTCTTTTCAAAAGCACACTAAAAAAAAACCTGCAAATTAGTACAAAACAAAATAGAACAAAAATATGATAAGTAGATTGCGATAAATAAAAGTGCGATAAAAATAAAATGGGTATAAAGCCTCCCAAAAAAAGTAAAAAAAATGCAATAAAGTAAATTGTAGGGGTGGTCGTGGTTTGGTTTTGGACAGTTTGCGGATCGGTTTGGACCTGCCCACATGTATGTGGTTTGGAGAAAATTCAACCAGTAACTGCCTGCAGTGCGGGTTCCGATTTATGCAGGTAGGGTTCGCGGATATGCGGGCGGTTCGTGGATTGAACTTTTTCCTTTAAACAATAAGCATAATTCAAAAAAAGAAGAAAAGAATAAACAATAAGCAACTAAATTTATCCAAGTTATGAGAGCCACACACAGCAACTGTATATATTTTCAATTTGTTATGAATATTCAATTTGTTTATATTTTCAACTGTATGTATTTTGGTACACACACAGCAACTGTTGTCAAATTTCAATAAAAGTATTTGATTAATGGGTACATAACAACAACATTAAATTGCAAAAAAACCAAAAGGTATTCTTCATCTTCTCTGGTTCTAGTATTGATTTAACAAAAAAAAAAAGTATTTGTCCAGGTTTAAAAAAAATATAAAAAAAAAACCTAAGTTCCGCACTGGCAATCATGCCATATTCCAAACCACATCCGCTTCTAGGTTTAAAAAAAATATAAAAAAACACCTAAGTTCCGCACCGACAATCATGCCATATTCCAAACCACATCCGCTGCATTGTGTATGTGAAACCGCCCATTTGCATGCGATTTGGTTCAGGTTGGGGTTAGGTAGTTCGGATAACCCTATACCCAGCCCTAGTAAATTGTAATAAAATAAATGCTTGTAATCAATAATTAGTAGTTAATAGTTAGTAGTTAGAAGTTTTTATTTTTATTTTTGTTTTTTATTATTTATTATCCTCAAAGTTAAATGTCCAGCAAAGGTCATCCACAGTGTCCAGCACGAGTATTTCCTTTGTGTCACAACATGGATTTTTTTTTTGGTTATGTATATATATATTTTTTAATTTTTTAGTTCACCTGCACAAGACAATCTGCACACAAGAAAAAAAAAATTAGTAACACCGGCACAAGAAAAAATATATATATATATATATATACATATTAAAAAAAATGAATTACAATAAAAATTACCTCTGAATTAAATAACTTTTCCCGACCAGAAATTGACTTTTACCTTTGACTTTTAGCGACCAATTATCACATTTCGCGACCAAAAAATTTGGTCGCCATTTGTTACTTTTCGTGACCAAACCTTTTGGTCGGCAAAAATGAGATTCCACGACCAAGAGCTGTTTTAGTCGGCAATAGATGTATTTTTTGCAACCAAAACTCTTGGTCGGCAATTGTCATTTTTTGCGAAAAAAAATTGTTTATTTGTCGCGACTAATAAATTGGTCGCCAAAGCAGGAAAACAATACACCTGTAATTCTTAATAATTCATTCAATCCATAATAAACCTATAATTTTAAAGCATCATTCAAATTAACTGAATCATTAACATTCGACACAATACATAATTCATTAACATTCGACACAATACAACTATTCTAAGTTTTCATTCACAAGTCACATCCATCTAGCATAACAATTTGAAACATAACTATTTGTTATCCATGCGCAGCTATCAACAAATAAAACTACTAATATTTGTTATCCATACACATCCATCCAAAAATATATAATCCTCCCAAAAATGCTTATATTGCCAAGTAGTCTTGTACAATTTAGCTTCGTGAACTTGTTAAGAAATATGTTGGGGAGGGTGCTCGTTTGGTTCGTGAACTTTTGATCCACTTTTCCCAACTTTTGATCCACTTTTCAATGATGGCTCCATCGATATTGTTTTAGCCACTTCAAATGTTTCTGGGAACAAAAGGCCAACAGAGTGGTTCAATGTCCTCATATCAGGTGAATATCCAGGTAATAGTCTTGCAAGCAAAGGTGAAACAGCAGTCTTTGCTGTAACAGTGTCAGAACTCAGAATGTGAGAAGCCGAATTCACCTGTGCACGAAGTTTAATAAGTTCAAATGGAGAGCTTACAACTGATTCCACGGCACCAGCTGCAATTCCTGCCATAAAGGCCTCAGAGACATGCACATAATTGTCTTCTCGACCATCTGCAAGGACAATATGCATATTACTACTTAAGGGGTTGAAAACGAAAAGTTGAATGTTTAGCAAGAGGACAATCAACTATCCTTATTAATTGGATGTTCAGCAAGTGTATAATCCATTATCCCTATAAAAATGCAGTAAGTCATTCATGCAACAAAGTCAAAAAAATGGCTTCCTACTCTCACAATGCACAAACACACCCACACCACATATACATACACGCACACCCGCACCCACACCACATAACTTTGTGAAGCACCCTTATCTTTGTAGTACAGTGATGAGAAACCCCTGACTAACCATACATAAGAAAAAATAACTGAAATCTAATCATCATCAAAAAATGATTTATACATAACTTTTTTAAAAAGCCAAGAATAAAAAATCAGCTCAAGAATGCAACCAATCATCAACCTCAACCCAAAACTCATATATGACAACCTCCTAAATATTGCATTCCTCTGTTAAGTGCTCCAGAGAAAGCGAAAGGAATTGATCATGGGAATCATTGTCTAGAGCACAAAATCAAGAAAAGAATTTGAAGTAAAAAATAAAAAACACATTAGCTACACCAAACCAAGATCAAACCTAGGACCATAGTTGAACAAACCAGTGGCAAATGAGAAAATGGTCCCACCAGCCCTCTCGTAACTCTGCTCATGGACATATCAAAAGCATCATTCTTATTTACCTGATCAATAGGAAATTTCTAGCATGACTGTCAAGTGAAAGAAAGCAACTTTTGAAGAAATATGGGTGCACCATATGTTGGGTATCTTAGTGTAAAATTTAGATTTTATTATCATGTGTCCAGCAATTCTCATTTTGCCCCATACAAAGCAAGGAGAGTCAGGAGCAACCCCAAACAATAAAAACTTCCAATTATTCACATCTCTCCAAATCAAAGGACCAATATAAGAACCCCATCCCCTGAGGCATATGCCGAAACCCTTCAGCTTCTCTATCTTCCTAATTGCCATTATATATCAATATGAACTACAGTATTTTTTAGCATCTTTATGATCCATATCAAAACATGTGCTCATATCTGAGTTACTCCTGCTAAAACTCTCATACATAAGAACATGATCTAGTTATATGTCCTCAACAGTGCCATATCACAGTAACAGAACAGTTACATACCCCATGAAGCCCCATCCCCAAGACTCAGGAACATAATAAATCAGGAAACAGTAAACTACATAATTCATGAATAAAATAGCTGATAATTTCAGTCCTGTTCATCTTAATGACTTTGAGGTTGACACTAATCAAGGAAAGCCATCATAATTTTTGAATGCAAGCAAAATGTACAATTCTGGAAATGACTACATTAACTGCTAGATTCTGAATACATAATCTCAGCCTGCTCACTGGATAATCAAGGAAATGGCTACACAATTTTCCAGTTTATATAAGTTGTGAAACTATATGCATCCAAAATTCAGTGATGATAATAGGTATTGTTTGGCAATACTTTAATTTTATGCAGATCCAGACATATGAAAGCTTACATAAAAAAGAAACAAGACCTACAGAACTCTTGAAATAATAATGAAAACAATTTCATACAAAACTCTTGAAAGCTACTTAAATTGTTTAAAGATAATGGGACAAGCAAAAAAACCACATGATCTCAAACTTTATTAACTCTATTGAGAAATCAAAACCAAAAAAATATGTTACAAGACAATGCAATAGCAAGACAAGTGATCTGGGAAAGGTTGAGCTGTGTTTGAGAGATACTCCAAAATAAGGCGCATTCACCTTTATGTGTGCACAATCTCCAAGATTAAAAATACAGCTGTCAACTTTGGCTCAAGTATAATGACATTCTACATTCAAAATTATTTCATCCTCCTCACCAGCGCTGCAACAATGAGCAGGCACAATATTAAAGAGCAAAGACAGAAAAGGGAAAAAATAGTGGAAAACATTTAAATGAGGAAAGAAGCCACAGCAAAAGCTACCTAGGCAATCTCCAAGATTAAAAATGCAGCTGTCAATTTTGGCTTGAGTATAATGACATTTTACATTCAAAATTATTTCATCCTCCTTACCAGCGCTGCAACAATGAGCAGGCACAATATTAAAGAGCAAAGACAGAAAAGGGAAAAAATAGTGGAAAACATTTAAATGAGGAAAGAAGCCACAACAAAAGCTGCCTAGGAGATAAGTTCATAGATTGTCACTCACTTTAATTTCCAGTTTTGGCGCTTAGATCTTTGACTCTGCAAACTCCAACAAATTCATTCTCAACATATGGCAGCCAATTAGAGCAGCAAAAGATCCTCATGCAAACCAAAAAGATAATAAACCAAGCTTGAAAATTGGTGACCATGAAAGCACACAGAGAGGGGGTGTAAGGACATTTTTCCTGCTTCTTTTCCTTTTCCTTTTTCTTATCCTTTTCTTTCTTTCTTTTTTTTTTTTTTTTTTTTTTGTGCCTCCCTTTTGTTGGACAAGACAAGCATGATGGTTCAACTAGGCCTATATCAGAGATATAATCTTGACCAATGTTGTGTAAAGCAAACTAAGGTGATCACCTATGCGAGAGGTGAGGCAAGCCTATGGTGCCTCAAAGGGGCTTAAGCAAGGTGAAGTAGAGAAGCATGGTGCAAGCAAGAAATGTGCTAGCCGCATCTTCGTCAGTCGAGAACTCAACCAAAGCAGTGCCACAAAATAACCTTTTGTCTGCAATATGGCGAGGCATCCTCACATTATTAACCTGTTACGAGCAGAGTAAACTCAAATCAGGGCATCATCTGTGGATGGGAAAGAGCTAGCAAGAACGTCACAGGGACAAACTATAATTTGGTGTAATCCAAACTTGCTCTCACACAATCAACACCATCTGACTTTATACATGCATACTCCCTATTTCACTGTCTGTTATCCTCACTGGCACATATATACATGAATATATATTTTGATGATTCCTTGTACTTAGTCACAATCATTATACACCAATGGAAACAAACTGAAAGCAAGACTGGTTTCAAAACCAAAAGTATTAGGAGATTCTACAAAAGGATAGGCATGCTCAAAAGTACTTAAATTATTGAGAAAAAGAAAAGAAAAAGAAGGGGAAAAGGGGTGAAACCAATACCTTGGCAAACTGACCAAAGAAGGATTCCACATGTTCAAGCTTGACATCATACTCTAGGGGTGATGCGGCGATTGTCCTACTGTCTGATTGTTCTATGACCTCATCTGGCGGCAAAAGCTCAGTAGCCCTACCAATCTTCTTACCTAAAGCGCACAACCAATATGTAATTTTGCTCAATATCAAAAGAAATAAAACCAGACACAAGCTACAATTCTTAATTTTCTTTTCCACATATTCTCAGCATCCAAACAGGGCAGAAATATAAAAATTTTCAAAACTCACCATCTTCAAAAACCTTAAGAAAAGTAGAATTCTTTAAAGTATCAGCCACAGCTTTCACTGTATCATCTGAAACCTCTTCTAGTTTGGAGATTCCTAAATTGAGATGACTCCTCATACGAGAGAACGAACATATAAGGGCCAAACTGACCACTGAGGTTTTAGTCAAAGAACAACAGAGAACCAAACAACAACAGAAGATACTGACAGTGCAATAAACCTTTTAACAGTGCAACAAAACTTTGTAAAAAGAACTAAAACCCAACATCTTAAGCTGTTTAGGTATCCAAATACAAAGCTCTATGAAAACTTTTTCTCTTTTTTTCTTCTTCTTCACTTTTCAACATATACAAAGCTCTATCCAAATACAAACATGGTATATTTTTAACAAACATGGATCTGGCATTTTTAACCAAATGATAAGAACATTTACATTCCAGTTGGCATATAGATTCTATTGTAGTCAACTTTCATATCATCCAAATTCACGTTACACCCTTCTAGCAAACTGATAATATCAATAGTAAAACCATGGATGATGAGAATGATCAGTGGATGTGCATAATCATGAACATCCCAAGACAAGTGATCTGGGAAAGGTTGAGCTGTGTTTGAGAGATACTCCAAAATAAGGCGCATTCACCTTTATGTGTGCACAATCTCCAAGATTAAAAATGCAGCTATCAACTTTGGCTCGAGTATAATGACATTCTACATTCAAAATTATTTCATCCTCCTTACCAGCGCTGCAACAATGAGCAGGCACAATATTAAAGAGCAAAGACAGAAAAGGGAAAAAATAGTGGAAAACATTTAAATGAGGAAAGAAGCCACAGCAAAAGCTACCTAGGAGATAAGTTCATAGATTGTCACTCACTTTAATTTCCAGTTTTGGCGCTTAGATCTTTGACTCTGCAAACTCCAACAAATTCATTCTCAACATATGGCAGCCAATTAGAGCAGCAAAAGATCCTCATGCAAACCAAAAAGATAATAAACCAAGCTTGAAAATTGGTGACCATGAAAGCACACAGAGAGGGGGTGTAAGGACATTTTTCCTGCTTCTTTTCCTTTTCCTTTTCCTTTTTCTTATCATTTTCTTTCTTTTTTTTTTCTTTTTTTTTTGTGCCTCCCTTTTGTTGGACAAGACAAGCATGATGGTTCAACTAGGCCTATATCAGAGATATAATCTTTCCCAATGTTGTGTAAAGCAAACTAAGGTGATCACCTATGCGAGAGGTGAGGCAAGCCTATGGTGCCTCAAAGGGGCTTAAGCAAGGTGAAGTAGAGAAGCATGGTGCAAGCAAGAAATGTGCTAGCCGCATCTTTGTCAGTCGAGAACTCAACCAAAGCAGTGCCACAAAATAACCTTTTGTCTGCAATATGGCGAGGCATCCTCACATTATTAACCTGTTACGAGCAGAGTAAACTCAAATCAGGGCATCATCTGTGGATGGGAAAGAGCTAGCAAAAACGTCACAGGGACAAACTATAATTTGGTGTAATCCAAACTTACTCTCACACAATCAACACCATCTGACTTTATACATGCATACTCCCTATTTCACTGTCTGTTATCCTCACTGGCACATATATACATGAATATATATTTTGATGATTCCTTGTACTTAGTCACAATCATTATACACCAATGGAAACAAACTGAAAGCAAGACTGGTTTCAAAACCAAAAGTATTAGGAGATTCTACAAAAGGATAGGCATGCTCAAAAGTACTTAAATTATTGAGAAAAAGAAAAGAAAAAGAAGGGGAAAGGGGGTGAAACCAATACCTTGGCAAACTGACCAAAGAAGGATTCCACATGTTCAAGCTTGACATCATACTCTAGGGGTGATGCGGCGATTGTCCTACTGTCTGATTGTTCTATGACCTCATCTGGCGGCAAAAGCTCAGTAGCCCTACCAATCTTCTTACCTAAAACGCACAACCAATATGTAATTCTGCTCAATATCAAAAGAAATAAAACCAGATACAAGCTACAATTCTTAATTTTCTTTTCCACATCTTCTCAGCATCCAAACAGGGCAGAAATATAAAAATTTTCAAAACTCACCATCTTCAAAAACCTTAAGAAAAGTAGAATTCTTTAAAGTATCAGCCACAGCTTTCACTGTATCATCTGAAACCTCTTCTGGTTTGGAGATTCCTAAATTGAGATGACTCCTCATACGAGAGAACGAACATATAAGGGCCAAATTGACCACTGAGGTTTTAGTCAAAGAACAACAGAGAACCAAACAACAACAGAAGATACTGACAGTGCAATAAACCTTTTAACAGTACAACAAAACTTTGTAAAAAGAACTAAAACCCAACATCTTAAGCTGTTTAGGTATCCAAATACAAAGCTCTATGAAATTTTTTTCTCTTTTTTTCTTCTTCTTCACTTTTCAACATAGACAAAGCTCTATCCAAATACAAACATGGTATATTTTTAACAAACATGGATCTGGCATTTTTAACCAAATGATAAGAACATTTACATTCCAGTTGGCATATAGATTCTATTGTAGTCAACTTTCATATCATCCAAATTCACGTTACACCCTTCTAGCAAACTGATAATATCAATAGTAAAACCATGGATAATGAGAATGATCAGTGGATGTGCAAAATCATGAACATCCGCCAAAATGTTACAAAAACTTTCAGAAACTGAACAAGATAGCTTAGCTCATTCACTCCTAAACCAGCCTTGGAGGCATTTCCTAGCTACAGGAAAAAGAACTAATATCTGTACAACACATAGGAAAGAGAAGACAGAAGACAGTCGAAGTCTTTTAAGTCGGTGTTTACCTGTTCTTCACATCAGATGTTGTCATATGAAAGTCCATAAGTCGATGTTTACCTGTATGTAAGTCAGATGTAGTCACATGTTGGAAGGGAAACTTCCCATAATATGAAAAATCTTTTCAATCATGAAATCACTAAAAGGAGGAGGTTTAGTAGTATAAATGTTGCAGAAGATACAACCTAGTCTTGGACTTAAAATTATGCACGTCATGTGCTCGATCTAGCAATTTTTGACAATTGTTTTGATGAACTGTCACTAAACTAAAAAAGAAGGAAGAGAAATAACTCAAAAACTTCCATTTCTGGGGTGGAAAAGACTCAACAGAGACATGCATGTAATAAACATCAACTGCCCAGAGAACATATATATGCCTGTGAATCACAATCCATGCAACTATGGTTCTGCTTGGTGCAATTATATTTGTGACATCACTTAGACGACAATCCTCTAACCAAATGACTCAATTTAGAAAATTTCTGAACCAAACATAAAATTGGTTAAATAGTACGTTACCTTAACCAGGTATTAAGATATTGCTCCAACTCCATCATTATAAATTTATATCCATGGCGAGTCTAAATAGAAAGCCCATAAATCATGTCATGAACTATCGACAATAACATGTTTGATAGAAAAGTTCAGCATAAAATATATAAACTTCTAACAGTTACAAACAGACATTATAAAACTCAATGGACTTAAACTTCTTCAGAGCAAGGTCACATAAAGGTTTTTCACCACAGTTCCAAACATTGATATTTATATCTTCAGCATCTTGATCCAGTCAACCACCAAGGTGATGCAAAAGTAAAAGCAAAAGCAATCTTCAAATGGCATCCTACAAGCAATAGAAGGGGTTGCACTCTTTCATGAGAAGATTTATCCACCACATTAAGCTTGTTTTAGCTCAAAGACACTGTAATCTCCTTTTAAGTTAAAAAATGAAGATAGAGAGATCAAGAACATTAGAAACAACCAATTAAAGGTGGTCATCATACAAAACCCATCAAAGGTAATTATGCCCTAAATATATCATTACAAACTTTTAAGTTCAAAAATTATGAAACTAACCTTAATCAGACACAGTTGAAACTCATCGAGCAATAGCAGAGGAGCAGAAAGAAGGGCGAGAGCTCACGCACACGGTGAAGGATTTTGCCCCATGCTCCTACACCGGATCGGAGTAATAGTTTATTGATTGCTAATCAGAGTCTTCATAAACTTCTCCATCATTAGAAAGCTGATCGAATGATCGAATATCAAGCTGATAACGGACGATTCCTCCAATTCCTCCAAAACCTCTGCAGAACTGAGATCCCTCATACGATTTATTGGTGACAAACTCCAAGGTGCATCCAAACTTTTTGTACTCATTAGCAAACCATTCAAGAAGTGTAGTCTTATCCTGAACCTCCAATTCACCAGCAGTTCCAGCATCTCGAAAGTTACTTTGATCAGCCATAGCAGCGTAATCCAATCATTTCCATCTCCATACATAAAATCAAATTTCTCACAAAACCCATCATCACAATCGAATTTCCCCACAAAACCCTTACCATACGATGCAAGATTACGGTGAGCTAGAGAGAGTGGGCACCGATTGAGGGCACCAACACAGAGAGGGAGAGGGCGGACTGAGACACAGAGCGAGATAGAGACAATGGAGATTAGGGCTCTTTTTTTTTTATATTTTATTTTCCTGGTACAAAACGACGTCGTTTTAAAAATGGCAACCAGATTTTTTTGTCGCAAAAAAAATTCAATTCCAGCCTCTATAAGAATCAAATTTCCCTCCCAAATTTTTGGCGACCAAAATACCATATTAGTCGCAGAAAAGGTACCTTCGCCTACCAAAAATTTTAGTCGCCAAATCTCAATCAACGGCGACTAAAATATTAGTCGCTAAAAGAACAAATTTGGCGACTAATTTTTTTTGGTTGCTGAAAATAAATTTTTGGCGACCAAATTTTTGGTCGCCAAAAAATATGTGACATTCCGCGACCAAATTTGTAGTTGGTCGCCAAAAGCATACTAATTTCTGCGACTAACTCAAGTTTGGTTGCCAAAATGTGACCTTCTGCGACCAACTCATATTTGGTCGCCAAAAATAATGATCATTCGCGACTAATTAATATTTGGTCGCCAAATGTCATTTTTTTGCTATCAAAATTTTTTTAGTCGGCAAAAATGATCAACAAATGTGTGAATTCTTGTAATGTACTATTACAACCATAAAATATATACACTCAACCATAAAATATATACGCTCTAAACTTTTCCACTCTCTCCTACTTCCTTTCTTTCTCCCTTTCTTCCCTTGGTTTCCTTGGCCAAAAGCCTCTCCCTCGCTCTCCTCCTCCTTTTTTTTGCAGATGAAAACCTGCAAATAAAATAAATAAATAAAACAAACATAGTAATATAATAATAAAATAAAAATGTTATATATATATATATATATATAAGTGAGGGAGAGGGGCGTGCTCTCTCTCTCTCCTCTTTTTTTTTAAAATTTATTTATTTTATGATATATATAATATAATATATAAAATATTAAAAAATATTTACATTAATTTATTTACAAATATTTAAAATATATATAAACACACAAAAAGCATACAAAATTATAAATTAATACAAATTAATAAATTAATAAAGTGTATATTAAGGAATTAAATGTGTATATTTAGACACCGATCAATCGGCATCCTAAAGCCATTGTTCAGTGTTATTGCCATTTTCAAGAGCACCCAAAAAGCTTGAGACAGAGAGCTTTTGGCTGTGTTTTTGAGCTTCGATGACGACGATGATGATCAGAAAATACTAGGCCACCACACCACTTGTGTGACAATGATATCCTTGTGGATGTACTTAAGATGATTACACAGGAAGAGTTAGTAAGTATGGCTTTTGAAGAAGCATTCAAGGATGACCACCAAATTGATGATAAAATGCCTACAAGAAATCTGTTCCTTGATCTGTTCAAACAGAACAGATTCAATTCTCTCAATTCAAATGGAACATATTTAATTTTTTGCTGTTGTGATATTGACACAGATAGAGGATTTTGGAATTTTGGACAGATCGATTTAAATAGACAAGGGAAAAATTGAACAAATAATAAAATTTGAACAAATAGATTTAAACAAATATGGGGAAAAAATTAAACTAGATAATAAAATTTGGACAGATATGTCAAAATATAAGGGAAAAAAATTAAACAAATAGATACAAATTTAAACAGATAGGTTCAAAAAAATTGTACAGATAAAAAAGATTTCAACAAAATGTCCTCAAAAATAACAAAATATGCTTTTCATCACAATATTTTACAAAGAGTACTTCTCAAAAAACAAAAAACAAAAAAAAACTCATGGGACTTAATGCCTTATATCTTCTTTAAAATAGACTTTTTACTATTTTTTTTCAAAAAATTAACACAAATTTAGAAAAAAAAATATAATAAAATAAAATTTAAAATATATAATAAGATTTAGTAATTGTTTTTGTATTTTTAAAAATAACTTGATAAAATTATAAAGAACTCTTAATGCCTTATATCTTCTTTAAAATAGACTTTTTACTATTTTTTTTTCAAAAAATTAACACAAATTTAGAAAAAAAAATATAATAAAATAAAATTAAAAATATATAATAAGATTTAGTAATTGTTTTTGTATTTTTAAAAAATAACTTGATAAAATTATAAAGATAAATAATATGGAAATTCATATCTTCCCAAACAATTTTATTTTTCTATTCAAATTTCTTATCAAAATTTTCAACTAAACACAAGATTAGCGGACACCGAGGGATTGCTGAGTCAGCATGAATATACATATCCAAACGGATAAAGCCTACCTACTATACGAACCTTCTTATCCGAACCCCGAGTTTAACGTGGTTAAACAACTTCCAAATTCCAATCCAACGAGCAAGATAGTCTACTTTTAAATCAAATTTTGATAATTCGAATAGTTTATATTTTAAAATTTATCACGTATATAAAATAAATAAAAAATTAAATTAATTAAATATCAAAAGAATTAAAAATTGGTTATTAAAAAAATTTAATAAATAATTTTATTATTTAATAAACTTTTAATTTATATAATTTTTGATATCTGATTGACTTGATATTTTACAAATATAATATACATGATAAACTTTAAAATTTAAACGGTTCAAATCATCAAAATTGAAATAAAAAGTAAACTCAATAGTCTATCAAATAGGAAGTCAAGGAGAAAAATCAAAGACGGATTCTTGCTCCAATTCAACCTCTCTATCCTTCTCCTCTTTCCTACATATACACCCAGCTCATCACCACTCATCAACTGTCACCATATCCTTTCCTTTCCATCACATTCACAACCAAATTGACACCACACAAATACAATTACTAACAGAAGAAGCGCATCATGGTTTCCGCATCCATTCCTCTCTCAACCCCTTTCCTTTGCCCCAAATCCGCCACTTGTCCTCCTCCGCCGCCGCTGTACGTCAGATTCCGGCCATCACCTCGCGTCTCCGCCGTATCCACCACCGCCGAAAGGCCGACGGCGACGGCGGCCAGTAGGCCCCACGTCTCGCACTACGGCATTGCCACATCAGTAGCATCGCTATACGATGTCCTGGGGATTCAGATGGACGCGTCTTGTCAAGAGATCAAGACTGCGTACCGTAGATTGGCTAGAGTCTTGCATCCGGACGTCTCATCCAACGGTCAAAAAGACACGTCCGCAGATGAGTTCATCAGGATCCACACAGCTTATTCCACCTTGTCTGATCCCCAAAAACGCGCCGATTACGATCGGTCTCTCTTCCGGCTGCGATCGCCGTCGGCTTCGGGGTTTTCCGGCTACACGCGACGCACGTGGGAGACGGACCAATGTTGGTAGTGGTAGCTACTTACAAAGCTGCAAGAGTGACTATATCTAGTTATAACTACTATTAATATATATATATATATAGGTAGAGTATAGGATGTGGACAGAAATGGTTCGAATTCTATTCTATCCATGTGTTTAACTGACTATTTGTAAGATAAAATGTTATCAGACACAGTTTTTTGAAGTCTGATACATCACCCCAGTGTAGAAATTGTTTTTTTTAGTTATTATTTATGCTAGTATTTCACAACTCATACTCACCCTGAGTTATATGTTCCCCTTCATATTTTACAATTAATAATTCATTATTATTATTTGTGGTTTTGTTATTGTTTCATGAGCTTTGTTATTTTCTGCTAGTTGAGAATATATTACAGCAATGGATGAAGTGCATGAATGTTTCTTTGTTAGGTGATCCAGATACATTGTTGTAGTCAGGGCAGTATACAAAATCGCCTAATCAATTAAAATCGCACCAATTTATATCAATTTAGACCATTTTATCTGTTAATTGCATATTGCATTTTAAAATTTATAATCCGCCTTTGAAACTATTCTGCTCCGCTATAGTTAATATATATATATATTTTAATTTTTAATGAAAAATCAACTTAAAAATAAGTGTGAGAGAGATTTAAGATGTGAAATTTGTTACAAATTAGTAATTATATATATGAAAAATATTATGTAAAATTAGTTTGTATTATATATGTGAAAAATTTTATGCAAATTAGTATTATATATTATATAAATATTTGATAATTGGTTAGAATATTTTTTAATCCGCTCAAATCGTAATTTGCCAATCCGTCAATCTGTTCAAATTGCAATTTGTCAATCCGTCAATCTGCTAATCTATAGATCGATTTTTGATTTTATTCTCAAACTACCTAAATTACACCGCGCACATTCCTAGTTGTGGCCCATATCATACAAAAGATCTGTATGGTCACACACTTCACATTTTTTCACATCTAGTACCTAAATTTTTTGTCTCTATTTTTATTCTGCACCTTTGTCATCTCTAAAAGTGGTGGTGGTGGACAACGTTGCCAGTTGTTAGCAAGAGTAGTTGTAGATCATGATTTTGGTCTAATGGTGAAAATATTAAGGTAAAAGGTTATGTTTAAGGAGGTTTGTGTCTCCCACTTACCCCTTGCCCTTGGCACGTTTCTCTCATATTCCTAACTTGAACCCAACAGTGATGGTTGTTCGCTGAGAGTTAGAAATATTAAGACAAAAAATTTAACAGAGAAAGTAGAAGAGAATTAGGGAACGATGGAAACAAGTGGTAGCAGAGAAGAGAAACAAGGACAGAACAAAGAGATTTTAGAGAAAATACTTCATTCAATTGATAGATCCCTTTTGATACAACAACTACATATGTAGCTATTAGTTATAGGATTTGGATTGTCTCCAGTTGGATCAGATAGATAGTTGATGTTTCATACTGGTAAGGGTCCTTAAACAAAGGTCTCTTAGTAGTAAAAATTTATAAAAACACAAACCAATTAAATTTTTTCAAAGACTCTTATCGGTAAGAATTTTTGTTTAATAACTCTTACCGATCAGAGTCTTTTGTTTAATATTTCTTAATAGTCGAAGACTTTAACTGGCTGATCCAATTAAAGTTTCAAGTAAATACAAGCCATTCCTTAGTACATATATACTCACTCTGGATAACCAACTCTATCTAACAGAGAAAACTAACCAATCTTTTAACTACCTACTAACTAATTCTGTTACTAATATCCAATATTCCAATTCTCAGCCACTCAACCTGGACAACTCAGATTGTTCTCTTAGCTTGTGTCTTCAATTACATCCCTACCTCACCTCCAACACTCCAAATCTCAAGCTCACATGTTAATATCCAAATATTCAACAAAATTTCAAAAACAAAACAAGTTTTCTTTCTATACCAAAATATTATCTAACGGTTGGGAATAAAGTATTTAGATTCTATGACTACTAGATTTAAGTTATAATTGGGCTACTTACAGGTCAATGCAGATTGGTGTCCACATGTTGATGCGGATTTTTTACATGAGTCAAATGGATTGTGTTTGAGTTATGCATGTTCAACACTAACACAACTTATTTAATATTTGTATTGTCAGATCGTATCATATTGTGTTCATGTTAAAATTGACCAACTATAATCCTCTAATTACATATATAATTAGAATTGTGTTAATGGATCACGTGGCAAATTCTCACCTCTAATTATGATAGGGGTAGGGGTGGGAGTGGTTATGGACGGTAGAGGATTCTGAAGAGAGAAAGGGTTAGGAAGAAGAAAAAGAAATATGAAAGAGAAGGAAAAATAAAAAGAAAAGAAAAGAAAATTAGTGAGGGTGGTAACAAAGGTTTTGGATAAGCTAGGTCATCAAAAAAAAAATTATATATGATAAGCAGCAAAAGGAGAAAAATGGAGGAAAGAATGAGAGGGGGAAAAAAAATTTAGATACTTCCAAGGGTAATGAAAGAATAAAAATAAAATTATGGTGTGTGAAACTAACCCTTGGTTGTGTTTTTATTTTTATTTTTTTGTTTTCTGTCTTATTTTTAGAAACACACAAGTTTATTTAGCAAACCATTTCCAAAAATTAAATTGAAAAACATTTTCACAAAAAATTTAAAATAATATACAATGATAGGTGTCTTCAACAAGCAATTATTTTGTATTCTTGAAATTTTATGTTGATTGTGAGCTGACCCAAGAACAACATGTCAAATAATTATATTATCTGAAAAATAAGTGCTTGTTTGGGATCTCTTAAAAAGGTCAAAAAGTTATTAAAAAAAAAAAAATTAATGCTATTCACTAATCAATTAAGCATGAAGAAAGTCAGAATACATAGAGGGGCAAAAAGACTAAAAAGCCCTTGCTGACATGCACTGAAATTTTTTTTTAAGAAAAAAAAAAAAAACTCGCATCTGTGCAACAGTACTGACATGCATAGAAAGCATGTCAGTATGCAGAGAGGTAAAAAAGTAATTTTGATATTTTATACAATATTTTACTATACATTTTTTAGTAAAAAGTTAAAAATATCTCAGACAATCATCTTTTTTTCCTCTACCTTTTTAGACAAAAAATTTAAAAATGTACTTATATAATTCATCCCAAACAACCTCTAAGAAATATAGTAGACAAAACACGAAGTGTTATTGGATGGGTACCAACCTACTAGATAATTTCTGTTCAAAAAAAAAAAAAAAACCCTACTAGATAATTTTAAATTTTGGTGGGGGTTTATTGGTGACTACGATTTTCTTTTTTTAAATGTTGAAAGATTTTGTTAGAATTTCTATTTATTATTATTATAAAGAAAATTAACTTAAATAGAGGGGGAGTTAGTTATTAGGAAGTGAGAGGTAGTAGAGATGGGTCATATTACTATACACATTCCTTTTGGATAATGTACTATCACTGCAGGAAATTTAGCTTTTAGTGGCGTTTAAAAAACGCCGCTAAAAGTGCTAAAAACGCCACCAATTCTTTTTGTGACGCTTAGCACCAAACGCCGAGGACGCGGCCGTCGCTATAGTTTTATGGCGTTTTAAAAACGTCGTGATATTAGTATAGGTGGTGTTTTTAAAAACGCCGCCAAATGTCCTCCTAAACACTGCTGACGTCACTAACGATATTTAGCGACGTTTTTTGAAAAACGCCGTCATATCTTTTTAAACAAATATGACCGTTAATATGTAAGGTTTAAGAGGCGTTTGTAAAAACGCTGTCATAACTTCTTTTTTTTTTTTTTGGAAATTGTACTAATTTTATTTGATTGAACTAAAAAAATATCTGTAATAGCACTAATATAAAATAACAACTCCCATTCAAATAGTTGTAATAAAGCATTAATTCACTTTCTCATTCAATTAATATCCAATCACCTTTTCCCACAAAATTAACATATCCAAAATCCAAAACGTTAACCACAAATTAACATATATCCAAAAATCATGTCTGAACATTAACCACAAACTAACATATATCCAAAAATCATGTCTTAGCATTAAAGTTGTAGTCTTCACTGGTCTACATGCCTGCATCATAACATAAACTGTAATGAGATTCACCAAAATAAATTATAGAAAGTAAAAATTATACAAAATAACGTAAAAGGAAAAGAAAAAGATGCCTAAAGCTACTATGAGCAAATTGGAACAAACATGCCTAAAGAAAACAAATTATTAAATTTTCTAAATTATCCCGAACTCTATAACTATTTTCAAAATGGGCAATGATAGAGACCACTAAAAGTGGTGCTCTAAAGCAACCACTAATGATGTGGCATCCATTTTTATAAAAAAAAAAAAAACAGACACAACAACACTGTACCAACTGTCACATCATTAGTAGTGGCACTAATTAGTGCTCCCACTCATTTTCCTTTCAAAATATACAACCAAACAAATTTTTAAATTTTCTAAACTCCCTCCAGAAAATTATTTTTAAAATAATATCTTAAAACACAAACCAAACAAGGCCTATATTTCACCGTGTACCCCATAAAATACAATTCTGATTCAGATAAGTACTGCTGTTGCAAGGCAAAACACAAGAAAGACTAGAAACTTACAGTTTGTAGCATCATCCTCATTCATTCCCAAGAAGAGAGAAGCATCTTGAATGCTTATTGTTGAATAAGCAGCTAGCAGTAGCTGAAACATCTTTGTGGTGTAAACATCTGCAAAAAAATGATCAAAAGATAATTTTGACAACAAAAAGTGCCATAAGGTAAAACTTCTCTCAATAGAGGAAGATAACAAGAGTCATTGCCTCTTAACTAATTCAGGACCCTATACATAAACAAAAAAACAAAGTAACAAACCCCCACCTCCACCTCCAAGGTTTCCCCACACACAACAATTACATCATTTAATCGGGGAATTGAAATATATGTTGGAGTATCTTGAGGCGTTCTTACAATATTAATCATTTCATGGTTGATAACATATCTCAACATGGCATATCTCATAATATACCCATGCATCATATCTATCTATTTATGGAGAGAGAGGAAACTACGTACCCTGTTTCCTTAAAAGAAAACTCCTTCAGTTTTCTAGCCAACTCAATTTCAGTAGCTGCAGCTCTAGGTACTATACAACTGTCCCTGCACATTGCCTAGCACAAAGATGCATAAAGCCACATTCAGATTAGCTTCTTAAGGTCCAGTAGAAACATGCAATACTTTTTATAAAAGATGACCTACCTAAAATAAGTATCGTAGATGTGTTGGACAGAATTACCTTGTATGTATTACTATCGGTACTTCCTCATAGGACCACAGTGCATACAAAGTTTCCACTTTCTTCATTTCTCACAATGGTGACCTATTATTTATTAGATATAAAGATCATGTTGGGGAAGAAGATGAAGAAACGTAAGGAAAAAGCCCAAAAAATAAAACCAAAATTAGTACTATATTGATTACTGGCTGTGGATATCTCCACTAGAAACAAATAAACATGACACTGTACTCCACAAGAAGCATTGAACTCACACAGGTTGAAACGAAAAAAGAAATGTTTCTGATCTTGAAAGGAGCAAACCTGTAGCATCTAGAGCACGGATGGATTCACAAAATGCATTAGCTCTCTCACGGCGACGCATCACATCACTTGATGGAGGTGGTGTGGTTGTAAGTTGGAAAATCTTTGATAATAGATGTATACCAAGTCAAGGAAAATAAAGATTGTAATATATTGAATAACACGAGGAACAAATGATATATATATATAATGACTAGATAGGAAGGCAGGAAATATTCTGAATTCTTTCAAGCACTGACAGTAATTCCCCAAGGAAAAAGGGTTGAGGATATAATCTCTAAGTCTATCTGTTGTATGTGGGACAGCCACCACCAATGCACGGACCACAGCAACTGTAGCTTCATGTGATCCATCTTCAAGAAAAGCATCCATTTGAACACGTATTTTGTCCACGATCTAGCAAGTATAAAATTTGATCAGCCAGATTCCTTGAATCTGCTTTATTAAAATGTCAATATCAGATCAACACCAAAAAATATATACCATGTCATTTTTAAAATGCTGTGCCACAGTTCCAAATGCGTCAATGCTTGCATATTTTACATTCAAGTTTTGGTCAGAGCCAAGAGTGACAAGAGCAGGCACAACATGAGTGGAAGCCACTTTAGCATCAATATATGGTACCTATCATGAGAAAGATAACAGAGAGTCACACACAATAGTAGAAGAGGTTGGAGATAACTACTCCAGGTAATTGAATACACTTACAATAACTTTCAACAGATTGGTGGCACTGATTTTCATATTTATATTGGAGCACACAACCATTTCCCACAAGATATTGAAAATCATATTATGATGTGCTTCATATGTGCTGCATTATGTAAAAGTTGAAAGTCAAATAATGAAATTCAAAACTAACCATAATCTCAATAATACCAAAATGATTTCACAAAATACCAACCAGAGGAAGCGGACAGAGTTTACAATCTCAGCATGGTGCTTCATTGGCTGACCCTCCTGCACTGCACTTTGAACTAACAGATTTCTCAAGTACTCTGTCAATTGTTCTTGTTTGCTTGGAGATCCTAACCCCCCCGCCAATCCCTGGAGAAAGTTTAATTATATTTCAGAGATGGATTATAATAAGTTGTCCCCTTATGGCAATACTAACAGGCTCTAAAGCATGAATGCTAGTAACTTACCATCTTTTCAGGAACTGGTTCAGTACCTGGACTGTCTGATTTTAGAAGTAGCCCATTATCTTCTGGTACTGGTTCACCATTGTGTTTCGAGACATGCTCAGCACTCTCAATAGCACCATTATTATCATTTGAACAACTTACTAATGTCTCTCTTGGTGCTGTATCGGATTTATCATTGGTGTCATCAGAGGTTTGATTTGCAAGTAATTGAGCACCCACAGTTTCTAGAACTCCAGATGTCATGTCAACTGGAGGTGCTACAGCACTATTTTCATGGAAATCAACAACTTCATCTTTTGTCTCTATAAACTTTGTTTCATGATCAATAGATTCCACAGATTCTGTCACAATAAATTTTCCAGCCTTTAAGCTTTCTATTTCCTTCTGCAGCAATTTTATTTCTTCCTTGTAGCTTTCTAAGGACTCTGATTGCGCATGTTCAATTTCACCAGCTACCAAATTCCATCCAGATCGAGAACCTTCAATGTGCATTTTTAGTGAAGTGATTTCAGCTCTGCAGTCATTGAGTTCCTTTCTTTGGCGTTCCAATGACTGTTTCAGATCTTGAACCTGAAAATCATAACAACAGCTATAATTCCCACAAATATATTATTGACAGGCTACAGAAGATACTCTTAATCAGAGAGAACTACCAGAATTTCCTTGTCTTTCAAATCCTTCTGCAGAGCTTCCAAGGATCTTGTCAACACCATAACTTGACCATCAGCCAAATCTTTGTTTTTCAGCAAAGACACTTTTTCTTTTTTGAGCTTGTCATTTTTTTTTAGCAAAGACTCATTTGCTCGAAGCATCGCAATTTTTTCCTGCAGCATGGGTAAGCTGTCTCATATATGTTGCAGTTCAGCAACAAGAAGCAAGATTCAAATTATTATTTATAAAAAAAAAAAAAAGAAATAAATAATTTAAAAAAAAAAAAAAAGAAAAAAAAGAAAGGAAAAAAGAAAAAAGAAAAAAAGAAAAGAAAAAAGAACATTAGACAAATAATGGGTATGAGACTCAAACTATGGGCAAATAATATAATGAAGAAAATGCTGATCAGGTGAATAAAACACAATATATATGATAAATATTTTATTATATTTTTATTTATTTAAATTGCGAACGCATTGTGCGAACCACTAGTGTGTGTATAAATATATATACTAGTTTACATAGGCCTGTATTATTACAATATGTTTAAGTTTTGTATTTTAATAATTTTTAAAAA